TTTCCAATTATGCCTAAAAAAGATGGACGTACTATAAAACTGCTTTAAAAAGAATTGATCACGTCCGTTGCTATAAAAACATTCATCAACGACTATTATTTTCTGAAATTAGATCAAAAGCTAAATGAATCAAATGAACGTGATAAATTCCGGTTTTGGAACAAGAAAAATGTGTGGTATAAGAAATAGGTTAAATATGTAAACGAACATTTTCTGAAGTAATTACAACGTCAGCGAACTTTTTATACCCTCCAACATGAGGAGTTTAAACATTTTAGTCGCATTTTCACATCTAAAGGCTTTAATTCCGGCATAATAGAGGGTAAAACGCATATTTGCTGATAATTGTCCATCAAAATCTTCGGTGTTTCCAGATTTTAGCTTTATTTTTACCAAATTTTTTGACATAGGTTCCTAAGTTTAAATAGTTGTCATTATTTTTAGGATTTTAGTCACATTTGCCCATGTAGTGGCTTTAATTCCGGGATATTGGAGGGTGAAACGCATTTTTGCAGAAAATTATCTATATGAGCCCAAGTTGTGATATATACGTCATTTTGCTGATTTCAACAACAATTTTCCACCGAATAGGTTCCATTTTTGACATAGACTCCAAATAAGTTCCCGCTATTTTGGACATTTTAGCTGAATTTCCCACTGAACGTACTGTAACTTAGATATCCGATTTCTAAGAGAGTAAAAAAACTTTTTTTAGTCAATTTTCGATATTAGTCTATATTTCGACAAACCACCTTTGGGATATCAAAACTAATTGTGGGTCTATATTTTTTAACTTTTGTATATTACAGACATATGTATATACTCTGCACCACCGTGCGTGCATAAACATAAAATGAGCTTAGAAATGCGTTTCAAATCGGTATTTTAAATTTCACTTTAAAATATAAATATTAAATATTTTACACTCTCTTCATCCTGTATATTCACATTTAAGAGATCAGTAGATCAGATCAATTTTCAAATGATAAGCTAGGTAAATTTTTTGATTATCATATCACTTGTGTGTTTATCACCCTCCAAAGTACTCTCATAATATCATCATTAGCACTTCTGATTCTCAATTTCAATCACAACTCTCCCTCTTAACATTTCCTTTATTTCCCACCTCTCTCTCACATAGTAAAATCATTACAAAACCCGAATAAAACTTAAAATATTTTTTTCAAGCCCTATTTTCATTATCACTTTTAATCACAACTCTTTCTCATTTCATTTACATATCCATTCATTTAAAAACTCTATCACACAGTAACCGTTTTTACAATATGCCCATAAAACATAAAAAAACACTTTCAATTTCCATATTTTTGTTTTCAAATCCACTCATTTCATATCCACTTCAAATTTTCCATGATTTCCATTTAGAAAAAAATAGATGTGCATAATTTTCTTTGCATTACACACACACGCACTCACACAATTGATTACATTTATCCAATTTTCCGTATATGACCCGGTGCGGCCATTCATTCGATAGACTGACTAGAACAACAACAACAACACACTGCTGCGAGAATGCTGCGTTCTCCGAACGAACAAAACTGATCAACGCGTTTAGAACAACTAAACATCTGTTTTAAATTTTTGAACAACACACAGCAGAGGCAGCAGCAACAACAACAAAAACCAAACAAAACAGAATCTCATTACGTCGCGCAACAACATCATTTTTTGCATTCATCAGACAAGCAACGGACGACGACGCTCGCCTGTCGGATGGCTGTTGTTGGCGTTCGGCGAGACAACAACGGGACATTCTTACATCTCCCACATCCGTTGATCAGTTGATGTTCTATGTCTCGCTCCTTCTCTCTATCTCTCTCGCTGTTTCCGCCCATCATCTTCGGCATCATAACATTATGCCAGTTAGACTTCAAATTCTCTGTTGTATTGATATTGTGTCATGTCATATTTTGTCTTGCTCTGAGACATTCATACAAAAAGAGCGTGGGGATGGATACTCAAAAGGCCAAGAGTGTTGTTGTTTTTTTTTTGCCATACTCTCTCCAAATCATGTTCAATTGTATTTATTTTGGTTATCATTGCTTGAGTGTTGTTGCTATCGTTAGAGTGGTTGTTGTTGCGACTGCTGTTGGTTGCTGCTGCTGCTATTACCGTTGTCGGCTTCTTGTTCTCCCACTTGTGTTTGGCGCGCGCGATTCAAGTGAGCCTCAATGTTTTTGTTTTTTGTACATGTTCCTTCCTGTTCGTTGTTTTTGTTGTCTTTGCTGCTGTTGCTCATTTACATTTCCATTTCATTCTACGACGGAGAACAACAGCAACATTTGCACAAAACGACAATAGAGTGGAAGTGGATTTTTGTCGATTATATTTATAATTCTATTTTGTATTGCGGTGATGTTGTTGTTGATGTCGCATGATCGTAATTTTCAGTGTGTGTGTGCTGTTTTCCATTTCTATGCCTACGGATGTGTGTTCAAGACAGTCAGCATCGTTTTGTTACAGCCACAGGTTAATGAATTGGGAAGACCAATCGATCTACCAGAAGACGAAATTCTATAAAGAAAACCACCCCAGAAGGAGGCCACCTGGTCTTGGATAAAGAAAAATACTTTGAGGTCATGTAGGAAGAACATCAATAGATCTACTTGGAGGAAAGCCAACAGGACTTCTAAGATGTTGACAACCCGATCGATATTCTATGAAGATCAACAAGTATTATATTAAAAAGAGCAACCGGACTTTTAAAAAGAAGGCCCATCTTCTACGAAGAAGACATTCACTTTTCCTAATAGGAAGAAGACTTTTCTGGTCTTCAATGAGGATGAAGTCCTTTCTGGGCTTCTATGAAGAAGACCTTCAGCTCTTATGTGAAGAAAAAGAAGACCTTTAGCTCTTCTATGAAGAAGAAGATCTTCAGCTCCTTCTATGTAGAAGATGGCCTTCAGCTCCTTCTATGAAGAAGATCTTCTGCTCCTTCTATGAAGAAGAAGACCTTCAGCTCTTATATGGAGAAGACGGCCTTCAGATCGTATATGGAGAAGAATAAGATCTTCAGCTCTTCTATGGGGAAGAAGAAGACCTTCAGCACTTCTATGCAGAAGAAGAAGACCTTCAGCTCTTCTACGAAGATGAAGAAGACCTTCAGCTCTTCTACAAAGAAGAAAACCTTCAGCTCTTCTACGAAGAAGAAGACCTTCAGCTCTTCTATGAGGAAGAAGACCTTCAGCTCTTCTATGAGGAAGAAGACCTTTAGCTCTTCTATGAGGAAGAAGACCTTCAGCTCTTCTATGAAGAAGAAGAAGAAGACCTTCAGCTCTTCTATGAGGAAGAAGACCTTCAGCTCTTCTATGAGGAAGAAGACCTTCAGCTCTTCTATGAGGAAGAAGACCTTCAGCACTTCTATGAAGATGAAGAAGACCTTCAGCTCTTCTATAAAGAAGAAGAAGAAGACCTTCAGCTCTTCTATGAAGAAGAAGACCCTGCAGCTCTTCTATGAAGAAGACCCTGCAGCTCTTCTTTGAAGAAGAAGACCTCCTGCAGCTCTTCTATGAAGAAGAAGAAGACCTTCATCTCTTCTATTAAGAAGAAGAAGACCTTCAGCTCTTCTATGAAGAAGAAGACCTTCAGCTCTTCTATGAAGAAGAAGACCTTCAGCTCTTCTATGAAGAAGAAGACCTTCAGCTCTTCTATGAAGAAGAAGACCTTCAGCTCTTCTATGAAGAAGAAGAAGACCTTCTATGAAGAAGAAGACCTTCTGAAGCTCTTCTATGAGGAAGAAGAAGACCTTCTGAAGTTCTTCTATGAGGAAGAAGAAGACCTTCTGAAGCTCTTCTATGAGGAAGAAGAAGAAGACCTTCAGCTCTTCCATGTGGAAGAAGGCCTTCTGCTCATTTAGGAAGAATGCCTTTAGCTCTATGAAGATGACCTTCAGCTCTTCTATGAAGAAGAAGACCTTCAGCTCTTCTATGAAGAAGAAGGCCTTCAGCTCTTCTATGAAGAAGAAGGCCTTCAGCTCTTCTATGAAGAAGAAGGCTTTCAGCTCTTTTATGAAGAAGAAGGCTTTCAGCTCTTCTATGAAGTAGAAGAAGACCTGCAGCTCTTCTATGAAGAAGAAGACCTACAGCTCTTCTATGAAGATTGAAGACTTGTCTTATGACAGAAGGTTGGAAGAGATCCTCCATAAAAATGTTTTCATGTTAGTTTTTATTTTTTTTAATTTTGTTTTTTATTTCGAAAATTTATTTATTACATAACTAAAATGAATACATTTGTAAATGTATTTTATTTAATTTTTTTAAATCATTAATTGGTAATATAAAAGAACATTGCTATTATTTTTATTTACTTTCATTTTTTTAATTTTATTTTATTTATTTTTTTTTTTTTTGTGAAACTATTTAATAAAAAATATGTTTACCTTTTTCATAAATTATACTGATTTTTTTGTTTTTGTTCTAACAAAGTTGTATAATTACAAATAATTATTTTCAGTATTTTTTCTTTTTGTTTCGTATTATCTAAACTCATTAATATAGATTTTTTTAATTTCCTATTTCCTAAAAACATGGTTGGGAGAAGGTAGGTTGTGGGAGGTATTGACATAAACATGGTGGAGATTTTTTTTCTTTCTTTTTTCGTCTTAACAAAAAAAGTAATAATAATCAGGAATAATGCAACCAAATTTGTTTTTCAAAGAGACCTTCGATTTTCTTTTTTTATAACAAAAACAAAATGTAATTTTCTAATGTGGTACAAAATGATTGGTTTTTCTTTTCTTCTTTTGTAATTTATAAATACAGGCGAATTATATATTTCGTCGTTTTTTCGTAATTGAAAAAAAACTTAACTCTACTCTCTACTAAGTAGGACAGAAATGTTGTATGTGTGTGTGTTTGTGTGGCATAAGGAATTAAAGAACAAAGGAAAGAATATATATAACTTTTTTGTTTGTAACAATTGAATGTTTTTGGAACTGTGGCCCAATTATCGCAGCATCTATTTTTGCCGTAGAATTCGATTATTGCGTTGCACGAACTTTTGTGCTTTCACTGTCTTCACTGCTGTCATCTGTGGTACTTTCAGTACTGCTGACATTCTCATCCTTGCGTATATAGATGGGTGGGGCTTGACCCTTAACACAGGCCGATGTTATATGTACAGTCTTAATATCAGAGCCGGGAACTTCAAACATGGGATCGAGTAAAAGTTGTTCCTGTAACGAAGATAAATAAAAAACCATTAAAAATATATTCCGTTTTTTTTTTATTTTTATAGATGAAAACTCTGATTTTTCTATTAAAAACCCTTCTGGGTTACTATGAGGTAGAAATTCTAGTATTTTCAAAGGCAGTGTGATCTGCTTTAAGGGTGACTTTCTGTTCCTCTATGAAGAATACCATCAGACCTTCAATGAAGAAGAACTTCTGACCCTTAATGAAGACATTCTACTCTTCTATATAGAAGAAGGTGACCACCAGCTCTTCTATAAGGCAAAACACTTTCAGATCTTCTATGAGGAAGGATACCTTCAGAACTTCAGCTCTTCTATGAGGCAGAAGACCTTCAGCTCTTCTTGAGGCAGAAGAACTTCAGCTCTTCTATGAGGCAGAATAACTTCAGCTCTTCGAAGATTTCCTTACTTTACTCCTCTACACTATCGCGGATAGCATTTAGAGTCCCTCCCAGAACTACAGTCCTCTCAGCCAGAGACTGATATTCATCAGCCCTGACCTGCTCGTTTGCCAAAAGAATTGCCGGTTCGTCAACGTTAGGATTTGAAATTGATGCACCTAGAACAGCCAGATCACAATCGCTTGATCTCGACGACCCGTGGCTCGTGACCTCACCAATGCTTGCCGCCGGTACTGGGTTATTATCTACCTGCGCCGTAACTTTATTCTTTTTGTTCCTTTCCGCCATCGGGCACTACCCCGATCCATTTTGGTCCACTGGGGGTCCGAAGATCCCCAAGGTTTAAACGAAGTGCAGAGAAAAGTTATCCTAGGTCACTTTCACTCTGTACATCATGGAGATCCTCTTCCCATCCGCCATCCGGGAAGGCGCGCCTAGTAGGAGATTGGCAACTGCCCTAAGAGTTGTTTTCACCTAGTTTCAGCTCTTTTATGAATGAGATGGACTACTATGAAAAAGATCTTCAGCTCTTTTCAAAATATGACCTTATGAACTACTATGTAGAAAACATTCTGTCCTTCTATGAAGAATACCTTTTGGTCTTCTATGAAGATGACCTTCTGGACTGCTATGAGGAAGACATTCAGCACCTATTTGAAGATGTATCCGAAGAAGATCGACTGGACTTATATGAGTAGGACATCTTATAGAAGGCCAGAAAGATTAGGATGCCGCAATGACTTCTCAGATATGCGCTTCTTATATGTCTTTCTAGGTCAATGAAACCTATATGGTTTCATATAAAAGACAAAAACCAATAGGTCAGCTTATGGAAGACAAAATTGACTTCTTAAGGAAAGTCAAAAGGGGTTGTTATTAACGATCACAGATGTCTTCGCATAGAAGACCAAAGGATCTTCATATTGAAGACAGAAAGGTCTTCGTATAGAATATAAAAGTGTCTTCCTATGGAAGATTAAATGGTCTTCGTATAGGCATATCAAAAGATTTTTTTATTAACGATCACAGAAGGCCTTCGTATAGGAGACCAAAAGGTTGTCGAATAAATGACCTTCTTTTTTAATAATTGATGACTAAAAGTCCTTCGTATAGAAAGTTTTTCGAATATATTTCCAAAAAATATTCTCATAGAATACCAAAAAAAAATTCTAAAGGTATCGAAAATGTTTCCTTTAGAACCTTATAGCGTTTTTTAATGGATCTGAAAAGTCTTTCAACAATGGACCAATGGGTCCACTCGTTGAACTTCTAAAATAGATCATTTTAAAAGCCGTATTAGGTCAACAAAATCCCGATTGAGACTTCTTTTAGAACGGCAGATAATTTTTTTTCGAGACTTCTTTCTAGGGACTGATTTCTTTTGTTATATTATCGAATTATTCTTCTACACCATCGCGTAGATTTCCTTTTTATTCTTTTCAATTCCTACCATTATTGAACGTAAACCTCTGGCACCGGTCTGACGTTCCATGGCCAAGGCGGCAATGGCCTTAATGGAGTTCTCGGTAAATGTTAAATCGACATGATCCAAACCAATCAAAGCCTTATACTGGGGAATTAAAGCATTTTTGGGTTCAGTTAAAATGCGAACCAACATGTTAACATTAAGGCTGTGGAACGGCACAATGACGGGAAAACGGCCAACGAATTCCTAAGGGAAATAAATAAAAATTAATACATCAAAATAGAAAAAATTTAAAAATTATTCAACATACCGGTATCATGCCAAATTCCACGAGATCACGAGCTTGTACTTTTGTCAAACATCTATCACGTTCCTCCTGATCATCGTCCATGGGACTGGCTGTGGATTGGGCAGCACGGCGACCGGAAGAGCCCGATGTGGGAGCACCAAAACCCAAATACTTTATGAATGGAACAGGAAAAAGAAAACAAAAAAGAACAGCAATGTATTTAGCAAGCTATTTAAAAATTAAAAAATATATTACTACCGACCTTTTCATTAAGCCTTCTGGCAATGAGACGATCCAAACCGGTATAGGCTCCCGAGGCAACAAATAGAATATTTGTGGTATCTACTTGTACAGTTTCACCTCTCAGTTTGCGCGGTGAATTACGTTCGGGTACATTGACAATTGTACCTTCCAACATTTTCAACATGCCCTGTTGGACACCCTCACCGCCAACGTCGCGTAACTGATGAATACCAGGGACGGCACCAATTTTGTCGACTTCATCCAAGAACACAATACCTGTTTGAGCACGTTCCACACTGAAAACAAACATAAAAATTAGTTATTGGTTCAATAGAGATTAATGGAAACTTACTTGTAATTGGCATCCTGCAACAGCTTTGATATAACACTCTCAATATCTTCGCCCACATAACCGGCCTGTGTCAATGTGGTACAATCACAGATGGCAAACGGCACATCTAAACACTTCGCTATGGTCTGAGCTATCAGCGTCTTACCCGAACCGGTGGGACCCAACATTATAATATTACTCTTTTCCAATTTGATTTCATAATTCTGTTTATCCAATATTTCCGATCCGGTATCATGATGATGTCCTCCAGTATTTCCTGCATTCTGTGCCTGTTTGGGTGGTAATTCAGTACCCGATGTAGCAATTGTATGACCAATACCAGTTATGTGTAGCAAATCGGTTCGTGTACCCATTGGATCATTCATCATGCCACCATTCTGTGACATTTGTTGTTGTTGTGGACTCACCTGCGGTAAATTGTGGTGGATACGTTTATAGTGATTGTAGACGGCAACCGAAAGGACTTTCTTGGCAAAATCTTGACCCACAACATGTTTATCCAAATATTCCATAATTTTTTGTGGTGGTGGTGGCGGTTTTCTTTGATTCTTTGTCTCCTCTTTGATATTACGTTTTGTATCGACTTCGGAGAGTACGACGAAGAAATGATTACACTTGGCACATTTTACAAAACGTGTCGAGCTAACAAAGGTTTCGACTTGTGTGCACGGGCTTCCACATTTCGGGCATTGTAAGAAATTTTTATCATTTGGTGGTTCGCCACTGGAACCACTGTTATTGCCACCAGCACCGCCAGCTGCTGAGGAGGATGAAGAATTACCACCACCAACTGTACCGCCGGTACCGGTACCAATGCCACCACTACCTGCACCAGCAGCATGGGCAAGAGTTATGTCAATTCGTGGATTTGTGGCAATGTGAAGACAGCGTGCTGCCAAGGCTGATAAACATCCCGATTGAGCATGATGATTTGGACAATAGAGACCTGAAAGGGAAGAATTGAAAGATATATTAATAACGAATCAAGGAAATCTCTAATGGAAATATTGAATAGAGAAATGGGCGAAAACGTTATTCGACTACAATTTTAATAAAACCCTTACTAGGCTTGTAAAATATTTTTATAAAAGTTGAGAAGGTTTATAGAAGGCCAGAAGTGAATACATATAGGAAGGAAAGAAGAGACTTCTAATAGAAAACCAGAAGAGGTTCTTATAAACGAGGTTCTTTTAAAATACCAACCAATGGATATGAGGACCAAATCTTACGAAATATCAGCGATATAAAGGTTTCTTATTCAAGGCCACTCTGAAAGGGTTTTTTTTTATAGAAAACGTTTAATATAAGGCAAAAAGCCAGAGGAGTTCTTCAGAGAGGCAGAGGATCAGTTTAGACTAGACTCCAGCCTGTCTATAGCGATCACATACCCTTAGAATGATATCTACAGACTGCTTATCCTGCAGCCTTCTAAGGACCTTTAACAAGTCGATAAAGACATGTTGACCCCTCAAGATTCCTGAATTTTTCTCGTCCAGAAATATTCCCTGGACTTCAGATCGTCGAAATCAACAATGTGGCTTGTCTTAAATATTGTTGTGGGTTTCTGTACACTTCAATTCCTCTAGAAATACTTCTTTGCTTTCAGCATGTGTACAAATATTTATGAACTTCAATTCGTCAAATATTCTTGGACTTAATTTAGTCTAAAAAATCTACGTTCTGAAGGAACTCTATTTTAGGTCAGTTTCTCGGACTTCAACTGGATCTATTAGGACTGCTATAATGAATTATTTTGTATCTGAAAGAATCCCAACTTTAGAATCCCTACTTCAGCTCGTCTATGAAAGACTCCCATCAGCTCGCCTATAAAGATACCAATCACCTCAATATAGACTCTCTTTCTCATTCTCTTCTAAAACATCCCTAGACTTCACCTCGCCTAAAAATACTTTATCGATTTCAGCTCTTCTTAAAAAGTATGTCCTGGAATACTCCCTGTTTCAATTCGACTATGAAAGACTCCCTGCTTCAGCTCGTCTATGAAAGACTCCCGGCTTCAGCTCGTCTATGAACGACTCCCAGCTTCAGTACGTCTATGAAAGACTACCGGCTTCAGCATGTGTCTATGAAAAATGAAAGACTCCCGGCTTACTCCGGGCTTTAGCTCGTTTATTAAAGACTCCCGGCTTCAGCTCGTCTATGAAAGACTCCGGGCTTTAGCTCGTTTATTAAAGACTCCCGGCTTCAGCTCGTCTATGAAAGACTCCCGGCTTCAGCTCGTCTATAAAGACTCCCGGCTTCAGCTCGTCTATGAAAGACTCCCGACTTCAGCTCGTCTATGAAAGACTCCGGGCTTTAGCTCGTTTATTAAAGACTCCCGGCTTCAGCTCGTCTATGATAAACTCCCGGCTTCAGCTCGTCTATGAAAGACTCCCGGCTTCAGCTCGTCTATGAAAGATTCACGTCTTCAGCTCGTCTATGAAAGACTCCCGGCTTCAGCTTGTCTATGAAAGACTCCCGGCTTCAGCTCGTCTATGAAAGACTCATTTCAGCTCGTCTGTGAAAGGCTGCCTTCAGCTGCTCTATAAAAGAAATTAGCCCCTTATAGACTCCATTTTCTTTCTAGCCTCCAACCACATTGTTTACCTTTCCCCGGTTAATAAATACTCAAAACGTGACTATACACCGTTTTTTTCTTTCTATAAATATGATTTGTTATCACGCCTTTTGATTTACTACTTGAGGAGTGGGGGGATTGTATAAAAGTCGCACCATTATGTGCATACTAAAAAGTCGAAAAAAAAGAAAAGCCATGAAAACTAAAATCTGTAACGAAGAAAAATTATTTTTTCAAATGGCACGCATGCTCATTATAAAGACCAAAACCCCTCCCTCCACTCGGCTACCTTTTCATTTGTTGACACTCATTTTTTTATTGCCTTCGGAGACGTTACGAGGTTGTATTTGTTGCTTCACCGTCATAACGCACAATGAGGAAATCGCGCAGAGGAAGTTATGGTCACCACTGGTTGTATAGGTAAAAGGGGGACCGGTTGCTGTTGTTGTTGTTGCCATAGACAAAACTCATAAATAGGTAAATGTTGAAATATACCCTCCAAAAACCAAACTTGACTTAATAAAATCAAATTGAGCCACCGTAATCAAAGTTAAATGACCACCAGCAGCACGTCATAGCAGGGAAAGGTCAAGCTTAACATTTAAACTGTCAATGCATATGGAAATTATGTGTGGTATTTAATGCAGTAGAAAAATAAAAACAACTAAACTAAAATAAAACGTGTTTATTCTTGACTTAGAAACCTGATAATTAATAGGAAATCAATTTTTATTTTATGTTCCCCCTCTGTTGATTTCTTCTTGCGATAACAATACACAATAAACTAAACTGAACTGAACTAAAGTAATCTACTAAAATAGTAAATGACAAAAGAAAACACGTCAATTTCTGTTAAGACAACAAACAAACAACAACATATGCATGCATCAGCACTCTCTGTATTAACCATTATCACCTGTAATATGAGAAACAAACAACAGAGAGACAAACAATAAACAACACAGGGCATATTGTTTTTTAATCCAATGAGAGCAAAGGGAAAGGAATGTGAGAGTGCGAGTCAGTCCCTGAATGTGATTGAGAGGTAAATAAATGAAAAAAAGTACAAACAATTAAATGAAATGCGATGCAATTGATTGAAAAAATAAAATAAAAAAAATGTTTCTACGTAAAGGCGTTTTAATGACCTTGATTTGATAACACAAATAACAAAATAAAAAACGCAAAAAACAACAACCAACCAGCCAAAGGGAAGACAGACTGACAAATGGGAAGGAGAGCAAGCAGAAGTACAACTGCAGTCATTACTTTGATGAGAGAATATGGGAAAGGAAAGCAAAGACAACAAATCAGCTGATTTGCATGGAAAAATAAGAAGACTCCAATAAGAGATTGGGGATTTTTATTTATTAACAAAAACAAATTGTTGTATTATTTGTATATTGTGCGTGAAAAGCTCAATGCACTTGCTTTCCATCGCTGATCGTTGTGAATATGTTTGCATTAATTATTTCTAGAACAAAGACAAACAGCAAGCAAGTCAATAGATGATGAAAAAAAAAAATAAAGAGAAAAACAAACAAAAGGCAATTTTTTGGGGAAAATAAGACATTTTGTGTTTTTTTTTCGGGAGGACAGGTTTTTTCTTTCGATGACTTAGTCACGGACGAGTTCACTAACCCATAAATCCGTACACCATACACAAATGGCGACAACAATGTTTGAAGAAGATGTGATTATGAAACCTACAGCAAGTGGACACTTACCTCTTAACCAACAATGATGGACACCAGCTTTCTGTAGTTGGGATAATAAAACTATGTGGCGGGCCACACTCATTATGAGGCTGCTGGTGTTGCTGCTGTTATAACTCGGGTTTCAATGGTAGCTTATCTTATACGGTGGTTTTGTAATGTTTGGCCGCTGTTATCTCGCTTATTTGTTTCTATTTGTCTTCTGCTTGTGACGTAGTTGAGCGGCTATTAAAAATATTTTTTCTTACAATTTTTTCTCCCACAACCAATATTTTTAATCAATTTTGTTTTTTCTATCTATTTCTCTGTGATCTTTTTATTTTTCAACACACGTCTTCGTCGTCCACCAACATACTATTACTTGTATCACCAACACTACTACGACGCACCACAATTATTATGGATGTTTGTATGGATGGAGAATTCCAATTCGATTGAAAAATTGTTTACGTTTTCTTTTCGGTTTCAGCGCATTTGGTTAACAAATTTGTAAAGACGCAATTTTCTTTTGAAATTATGTTTTGACGTTTTCCCGACGACTACGGACGATGCTTTCTTTTTCAATTTGCCTTTAAATATATATTTTTCTTATTTGCTTTGCTGTGTGAGTTTTTCTCCTTCCTTTATCGCGACCGACGACGACCACTACAACGAAGATTTTGTTTTTTTCATGAATTCAACCAGAATGACATTTGTTTTGTCGTGGGGTATGTTCAGTTGCTGCCGTTACAGGTTATATATTTGGTGGGGTATGTTTACGCTTTTCTTTGATTGTAGATGTCAAAATTAAAGTGACAGCTTGTCGTTGCAGGGAAACAGTGGTTAAAATTCAAGATTTTGAATGCAAATTAAACCAGAATTTTGAATTGGCTTTTTGAAAATAAATCCAATGGAGAGAAAAAAATTGAACCTTCAGAAATATGAAAAATTGGGGTTGCCATATAATAAAAATTAGTAAATTATATGCAATGGAAGTTGGATTAATAATAGGGGCGAAATAATTTTAAATAGAGGTACAGAAGGCAGTCTTTTTAGGCGGTCAGAAGGATCTTTGAATAACCTTCGTAGACGATCCAAGGGAGTCTTTCATGGACGAGCTGAACGTAATCTTTCATAGACGTACTGATGAGAGTCTTTCATAGACAAGCGGAAGGGAGTCTTTTATAGACAATCTGAAACAGAGATTCGTTCATAGACGATCTAAAGCAGTGAGTCTTTCATAGACTACCTGATGCAGGGAGTTTCTCAGAAGAGACCAAGGGAGTATCTGTGGATGGTCCGCAGGGGAATCTTTATTGATTAATTGAAGGTCAGAGCGACTGTTATAGACGAACTGAATATCAGGGAGTCTATATGGGTGAGCTTAAGGTTAGGGGTCTATATAGACGAGCTAAAAGTCAGGGTGTCTATATATGCTAGCTGAAGTCTATTTCGAAGAGAGTCTATATAGACGCTGAAGTTCTGAGGTGGGTGCAGGTCAGGGAGTCTATATATAAGAGCTGAAGGTCAGGGAGTCTATATAGACATGATTAGGTCAGGCCAGCGAGTATATAAAATCGAGATCAGTGCAGGTCAGCGAGTCTATATAGACGAGATGAGTGCAGGTCAGGGAGTTAATATAGACGAGATGAGTGCAGTTTAGAGAATCTACATAGACGATATGAGTAAAGGTCAGGGAGTCCATATATACACGAGATGAGTTCATGTCAGACAGTCTATATTGACGAGATGAGTGCAGGTCAGAGAGCTGAATGTACGGGAGTATTTATAAAAGATTGAAAGGGACTAGGGATATTTTACACGATCTGGGGTTTATCTAAAAGCCCCTTGAAGGTGCGAGGGTCTCGCAATTCATCTATATACTGACTTCCGTTACTAGGGGTTTTAGTTCGCTTATATAACCTTCTAACCCTTATAGTCTTCTATCATCAATAAAGACTCCTGTGCCTTCATGAAAATGCTGTGTCCCACCACCCCCAAAAATAAATAAAACAAATCTCATTTTTTTAATTTTTTTACTAAAACCTAAAATTTTATTAAAATCCTGGTATAACTCTACCCTTCTTTGCAGCCTTCTTAAGTTTAGTTTTCTGCTTATCCTTCGAGCGTTTGTCCAAATTCTCTTGACGTTTCTTTTGGCGGGCAGCAATATCCTTCTCCACCTTCTGCTTACGTTCTGTCCATTGTTTCTTGGCCTTCTTCTTTTCCACCTTACGTTTCTTGATGGCCTTGTACAACAACTTTGGATCATCCTTAACCTTTTTACCTTCAACCTTATCGAATGCCTTCTTCCACGCCAGTTCGTTTTTGATTTCCAGTGCTTTTTCCACTTCACCCGATTCTTTTAATTCATTTATCTTTTTGTCGGTTGCCTTAATTTCGCGCAGGATTTCACGTGGATTTTTGTGGGATTTCTTTTTCTTTTGGGCAAAGTCGAATTTAGAGAATACAATTTTACCCTCTTCATTGAAGACAGGTTTGGGCACCACAGGTTTAATATCTTTTTTCGTTTCCTTCTCATCATCGTTTTCTTCGCCGAGTTTGGCTTGTTGATTTTTAATGGACTTGGCAGCGGTGACGAGAACCTTTTTGAACTCCTTATTTTTCTTGAGTTTCTTGGCTTCCTTCTTTTTCTTGGCCTTTTCCGATTGTGGTCCCTTTTTGGTTTTCATTTTATTTTTGATACGATCCAGACGTTGCTGCAACTCATCAATTGAATCGGAGGCGGCATTTTGCTTATTGGGAAATGCTTTGGCAGCAACAGTTTTACTTGTTGTCAGGAGATAGTCATCTGTGTCATCGGCTGGAAAAAACGATAAGGGGAGAAAATAATTAAAAATATGTTAGAAAAAATATAATTGAGAAAAAATAAAAATATAAAAAATTAAGGTACCAGTGGCGGACACTACTATGAACACTGACATGATCAACAGCAAAAAATGAATTCATTGGAGCTCAGCCATCGACGTCTACAAATTATTAGCGATTTGGGACATTGTAACAATAAATGAATACAGTTGGTAGGCGGACAGAGTAAACACTGTAAGTAAAACTGTTCCTTTTTTTAATACCAAATTTCCACAATAAAATCAAAAAACATCATAATTAACTCGTGGTTCTAGTCCATTTGCGATAATTTTAGTCCAGCAATACCAGCAGTTTGGCAATTACACCAAAATCTCCCGACAATTTGTCGTTCTTCTTGTAGCAATATTGTTTATCACTAATCTCCTTTGCATAGAAAAACTTATAAAAAATCCTTCATTTACAGGATACCTCTTATTTGGATATAAAACACCCCGCTGGGAATTCATCATTTGCCAAATTCACACTTCCCAACTTACCTTCAATAGAATCGGGTACATTGAAAGTCAACAATAAATCCATAATTTTTTCATTTTCTGAACGCATAAACGTCAGTAAATGTTTCTTGTCTATTTGTATTGTCATTTTGCAATGAATTTATTACAAAATTTTATAAAATTTCTAATTTTCTTTGTCAACACGTGCACCTTTAATGTTTTTTCTACAAAAGCAAAATATAAACACAGCCGCTTTTGACATTTATGCTCAGTGGAGTATGTTCAGTGTAATAACACATTCGTGGCAGATGTATAGGGTTATGTAGGTCGACTATTGAATGCAATTATTAAGAGAAAATTTTGTGTTTGCATAAAAATGTAGTTATTTCACATATATTAAAAGAAAATTACAATGTAAATGGTGATTTATCATAAAATTTATAGGTGTAAAAGTGCCCTATAATCCATTCGTCTAGAATTTTTAAAATTTATTTATTAATAGTTTTTTTTTCTTATTTTCATGTAAATGAAGGGACTACATATATTCCAGTCGTTGATATGTTAAAAGAGTATGTTCAGTGAATAATCAGAGTTGATTTAACGGATATTTATTCTATTACTATTTACCTTATAATTTTTTTTTTAAGAAAAATTGATGGAAAATGCTGAATTGAATTAAAAATTTAAAACATTTGAAAATATTGAAAATGAAACATATATAAAGTTGATTGATAGAAAATGATAAATTGAAATAGAAAATGGAAAAAAATAAAATAATTAAAATGCAACATATATATTGTAATTTTTGCATAAAAGTCTTATCAGCCAAAATACGGAATGCAAAATTATAGTCAATTCGGTTGGAAACTGTGCTTATGACGGCCATATCAAAATATTGACATATATTAAATATTCGCTTAAAAGATGTTTCCTTAGAATGGAGAAGAGTTTTTAAGCGCCAAGATCTCATGATATTAAATTACATTAAATTAAATTACAATGACTGGAAAATGCGCCTAAGACCACTTTGAGAAAAAATGTTAAACTGTTGGTAGCTATTTTACTATTTTTCCGATATCATAAAGGAAAAAAGTTTTCGTAGTAAAAAAATTTACATTCCTGCAGATTTTTTAAAAGGCCTATCATTCTAAAAATGTGGTGCACTTTTTAATATTAAAGGAATATTGGTAAAAGGCAAATGTTGCATATTTTGGAAAAATTATAAAAATTAGAAGATTCTTGCATTTCTTTAACTAATAAAAATTAACCCATATAACGCCAGAGAATTTTTATTCAAAATCCATGGTACAATTACAAAACTCTGCAAAACTCAGCTTTTTTGATTGTATCGTAGTATTCGTGTCAAGTTCGATATGACATTTTTGATTTATGTAGAACGACCCAATAGGAACATTTTGTACATATTACATTTAAACATTTAAAAAATACGACAATACAATTTGAGCTTTACAAAATATATAGAGACAGAAAAAATACAACACAATTTTGTTAAATGTTTGACATTTATCCATATTCCCAAATCTCCATAAGATAGAAAAATATAGTATCGGCGTTCAATTTTTTTCTGAACCGGTTTTAAAAACATGAATTAGTATGAGAATTCCAATTATATCAATTTAATAGAGTACTAATCGCGCGTTGACAATTTTACATTTTCAATTCAATGAAATATCAACACAATTTTGTTAACCTTTGGTTTGCAATTTACTTCTATTTCCTAATGGGACAATGTGAAGCAGCAAATCCTTTTGGAATGAAAAATTGAGTATGAGTTACCTCTACATATGGCAATGACTTAATTGGAAGAAGTGATAAAATTATGAAATTTCAATATTTTCTTTCATGTTTTTCAATTTTATTCTGAAAATGCATAAATGTTAAATTTTGAAAATAAATCAAATTCATTGATATTTTATTTGTTTTGTTTTCATTTTTCGACATCTCAAATTGACCAAGTTAACCACAATTTTCTTGTAGTTTTGCAGTTAGTCTGCTTTTCCACAGGCAGATTTTTATTTGGCAAAATTTTTGTTTTCTCTTTTGAAATTTTTGGAAAACCATTAGCAAATTTTTCTTTGCCAAATTTGCGAATCAAAATACAAATGAAAGAAAATAAAAGTCAAAAGTGTTTGCATTTTAAAGATTTTTTTTAAATATTTTATTTATATTTTATTATATAAATTGCAAAAATTAAAAATTAAATTTCACTTGCACAAATTAAAGCAACAGGTTTGTAAACAAAAGCCGGCTGTGTGTCAGTAAAGCGAATAGGTTCAAAAGGAAATGTCAACAAAATTGTTTTCAACGAACAGAGCAAAGCAGAATTTGCGTGTACGGCAAATTCTGAACAGGCAAATTTTTGTTTTTCTTCCTCGCACCCCTCTCGCCTACAAACTCAGTATTTGCCAAATAAAAATTTGCCTGTGGAAAAGCAGACTTACCTTGTACAATTGTAGCATGTTCAAAATCATAAATTTAATTTCAAAACTTATATATATTTTACTCATAGATGGTTGTTCTTTAATAAAAATGTTTGTTTGTTGTTTTCTAGAAGTAGAATTGTAATTTTTGGAGATTTTTAAAAGGACGGTGGCTCCAAGTGATTGAATTTGCTTCAATATTTTTTTTCTGTGTACCCTTTGACAACAAAATATTCGATAACAATCGATTTTTCCCTACAAATCGTCATTGACATTTCTGTGTGTGTGTGTGTTTGTTTTTTGCTATTGGAAATCGATTAGTCCAAAGTCGACTTAGTGCAACCTATTCGTTTGACTTCTAGTATCAAAGAATGACTGAATGACTAATTTTCGTGAGTGTTTTGTTATTTAAAAAATAAAACTAAAGAATTGCAAAATAATAATATAGAAAAAAAGAAGAAAAATTAATTCCACAACAAGGAATTAAAGAAAATAACAAAATCAATGAAATCGATTTTACGAGAAGAACGCGTTTAATTTTGCCCGAAAAAAACAGAGAATAAGAATTGTGGTGCGGTTGCGGGTTGTGTTTTTTTATTTGCCAAAAATTTTTTCAAAGATAAATAAATAACGATAAGAAACGCAAAGAAAATAACAAGACAAAATGAAGAAACAATTTACAAAAATTAAAATAGCAGCTGAAAATCTATCAAGGTAAATGTTGCTGTCGTTATGTTGCTCCATGTCCGGAGACAACAACAAGGTGTTGTAAATTTGCTTGTTGTTCGCACAAAAAACAAAATTGAGCAAAACACGACAAGAAAAAAACTTGAAAGTGTGATGATGATTATATGGCATTTAAGTGTTTCAAAAGTGGTTAAGGAGACACAAAGAGGAGTGGCATGAGAGGAGCAGCATCATCGTCGTCGACAGACTTGCAATTTTTTCGCTTCAGTAGATAAAACCCCTAAATACGACATTAACAGCAACAACAACAACAACGAGGCCTGCTGTAAAATTCCCCCAAAAATTTATATCTTTAAAATAGCATAGCCTCAATGTTGTTTGTGGTGGAATGTTGTGTGTGTTTGTTGTCGTTGTTGTCATCGTCTGGCTTATAATTGAGCGCCACTGCAGAACACAACAACAAGTACACCACCACCCCATTCCAATGGTGTGGCTGGCTGGCTGACTGCTTGGCTAGCGATAAGGGCGTTTTTATATTAGGCCTTTGTCCTTTTGCCAAGTCTTTTATTTGCATATCTTCCTTCTCTGCTGTCCCCCTTGACCATAGGCCTTAAAAAGGGTGGTGCTGCCTGCTGATGATGCGCCATGTTGCGCTTTGTCTCGTTCCACTTTTTTTTTACTTCAAATGTTATGTCATTGTTGTGATTATATTTTCCATTTGTGTGTACAAATTTTCGTCTTGAGTAATTCTAATGGCGATTTTTAACCACCTACCCACCCTCTTCTTCTTTTCTTACAGATCAAATAAACCGGATCGTAAAGATTGTGAATTGGAATTGATAGAAAAACAAGTGGACAAATATCGTGATGTACTCGATAAAATGGTTAAGAAATTACCAGCCGGTTCGGCCGATATACAAGATCGCGATAAACGTATTAAAAAACAAAGTCATTATAAAATTGGTCAAGCCCTTGAGGAGTCATCAAAAGAATTATCCACAGATATGCCACTGCATCATGTTCTGCTAAATAGCGGTGAGTTGTGATTGGTGACTGGTGGCTACCAGCTACCTAAACAAAAATAGCATAAGAAAAGATAAACTCTTTCTTTTTTGGACACCAAAAAGAAATAAAACAAAAAATAAATAATGACCACATATCCAGCCATCCATCTAAACCTCGCACACACACACATCTATACGCACCTTTCTACAACACATATCCCCTATATTATACACTATCACCACTATCAACATCATCATCGTCATATATACATATATTTCTACCTATAAATATATAATAATGTGTGGAGTAGAGAAAAACCAAAAAAGAAAGATAAGAGCCACCAAAACCAACAAGAAGTAAAAAGAAACACATTCAAGCAACCGGCCAAGCAATCAAGAAACCAACACACAAATCAACCAACAAACTTCTTTTCTATTAAATCAGCTAGCGGCTATGGCAATGTTGAGTCAGAATTCTTTTGTTATGATTATTATTATGGCAAATCGAACTGATTACAAATAAGAGGGGTAGTATGATAATAATTTGTCATTTTGCTTACTTCGCAAAGATAATGTGTACTATTTTTTATTTTAAGCTATCGAATTGCTGTGGAATTATCATCATTGAATAATGCCGTCAATTGGCTGATAGATCCCATGTGTTCATAGCGAATAAACACAATAGAATATAATTTTTTTTCAAATGCGATTGAGGCATGAATCCAGATAACAAATTGACGAAGAAGATTATTGATGAGAATAAAATTCTATTTCGTTTTATCCATATTTGTCTCCTTTTTCGTATATCGGTATACCGAACTCGTAGTATTTTGGGAGTTCATTAAAAATTCTCAAAAAAAAAAAAAAAAAAAAAAAAAAAAAAATAATAATAATAATCCCCAAAGACACTCGCATTGATTGGTCTTAAAAACATTCTTTTAAAAATCCTCACCTTGAGAATCGGCATAAATGGGCCTTTAAAATTATATTCTTTAAAAAATCGAAGCCTTGACATTCCTTTGAAAAATTATTCTTAAAAATCCAAAAAATATTCTTTAAAAAATCCAAGCCTTTGAAAAAAAGTATTCTTTAAAAAATCTACGCCTTTCTAAATAAGTATTCTTTGAAGAATTCACGCCTTAAAAAACGTAATTTCGAAAAACAACGTTCTTTAAAAAATCCACGGTCTTTAAAAAACATGTTTGATAGGCCTTTGAAAAAATATTCTTTGAAGAATTCACGCCTTGATAGGCCTTTGAAAAAATATTCTTTGAAGAATTCATGCCTTGATAGACCTTTGAAAAAATATTCTTTATAAATCCACATCTTGATAGGCTATTGAAAAAAATATTCTTTATAAATTCACGCCTTGATAGGTCTTTGAAAAAGTATTTTTTAAAAAAATCCACGCCTTGATAGGCCTCTGGAAAAAGTCCACGTTTTTATAGACCTTTGAAAAAATGTATGACTTATAGGCTCTTGGAAGAAATATCTTTAAAAAATCCAAGTCCAGCCTGTCTTTTGATTAACATTCATTAAAAAATCCACTTTTAAATAGGCGTTCGAAAAATATTCTTTAAAAATGATGCGATTAATAGAGACCTTTGACAAATATTGTTCAAATAATCCAGACCTTGACAGGTTTTGAAAAAAAAATATTTGAAAACCAGTAAGGAAAGTAGTAAAGTCGGACGGGGCCGACTATATGATACCCTTCACCACTATGGGTATATTAAACAGGACTATAACATAAAAATGGATGAAAAAAATGTGATATTTATCTAAATGTGAATCTACCTAGATCTATCCATAAAGTATGTCAATCGACTTCAAACAAATATAAATAGGTCATCCGTTGGGCTATGTCTGCACTTCTAGAAAATGCAACTACGTAATTCTATGCTCAATTTTGTAAGTTGTGCAAAATTTGATGTCAATCTGACTAACATGAGGAGTTTGATGCCCAATTTACTTGAAATCGGGCGAAAATATATATGGAAGCTCTATCCAAATATAGAGCGATTTCAAACAAACTTTTCACAGGTTAGGTTATACTAATTTTATAACGTTTTGTTCCTATTGGTTCCTTAGTACGACAATTACTTAAAATCAATCTATAATAAAAGAGAGCTATATCTAAATCTGGACCGATTTTCACGAAACTTGGCCGACATCATTCTAGGCTCAATTAAGTACGTTATGCCAAATTTCGTGCAAATCGAAGGATATATAGGGACTTTGGTGCACCATTTACATGAAATCGGACGAAACTATATATGGGAGCTATATCTAAATCTTGACCTATTTTCACGAAACTTGGCAGACATCATTCTGGACTCAATTCAGTACGTTATGCCATAGTTCGTGCAAATCGAAGGATATTTAGCGACTTTGGTGGACCATTTACATCAAATCGGACGAAACTATATATGGGAGCTATATCTAAATCTTGACCGATTTTCTCCAAACTTGGCAGACATCACTCTAGGCTTAATTCAGTACGTTATGCCAAATTTCGTGCAAATCAAAAGATATATAGGGACTTTGGGCACCATTTACATGAAATCGGACGAAACTATATATGGGAGATATATCTAAATCTGGACCGATTTTCACGAAACTTGGCAGACATCACTCTAGGCTTAATTCAGCACGTTATACCAAATTTCGTGCAAATCAAAAGATATATAGGGACTTTGGGGCACCATTTACATGAAATCGGACGAAACTATATATGGGTGCTATATCTAAATCTGGACCGATTTTCACGAAATTTGGCAGACATCATTCTAGACCTAAATGATTAGGCTGTACTAAATTTCGTGCAAATCGAAATATATATGGGGACTTTGGGGCACCATTTACATGAAATCGGACGAAACTATATATGGGAGCTATATCTAAATTTGGACCGATTTTCTCCAAACTTGGCATACATCACTCTAGGCTTAATTTAGCACGTTATACCAAATTTCGTGCAAATCAAAAGTTATATAGGGACTTTGGGGCACCAATTACATGAAATCGGACGAAACTATATATGGGAGCTATATCTAAATCTGGACCAATTTTCACGAAACTTGGCAGACATCATTCTAGACCTAAATGATTAGGCTGTACCAAATTTCGTGCAAATCGAAAGGTATATAGGGACCGTTTACATTAAATCGGTTAAATATATATATGGGAGCTATATCTAAATCTGAACCGATTTTTCCCAATTTCAATAGGGTTCGTCCTTGGGCCGAATAAGTGACCTATGCCAAATTTCATCCAATTCGGATCATAAATGCGACCTGTACTTTGAAAAATCAGCTTTTTATATATTCCATCGATCCACCTTTTTGTGTAGTCGACATTAAACGGAATCTTCCGATTTTCGGTATTTTAAGGATTTTAGACAGGTTCCTTAAGGCACACACAAATCTGACACAGCAGATTTATTTGGAATTGGGAAAAATGGGTTCAAATTTAGATATAGCTCCCTTATATATTTTCGTCCGATTTAAGGTAAATAATGCGCCAAAGTCCCTAAATATCTTTCGATTTGCACGAAATTTGGCATAAAGTACTGAATTTATAGAGCTAATCATAATGTGTTTTCACGAAACTTGGCAAACATCACTCTAGGCTTAATTCAGCACGTTATACCAAATTTCGTGCAAATCAAAAGATATATAGGGACTTTGGGGCACCATTTACATGAAATCGGACGAAACTATATATGGGTGCTATATCTAAATCTGGACCGATTTTCACGAAACTTGGCAGACATCATTCTAGACTTAAATGATTAGGCTGTACCAAATTTCGTGCAAATCGAAAGATATATAGATTTAGATATAGCACCATTTATAAAATTTTATCCTATATATAAGCTAGTAAATGGTGCGATTTTCTCCAAACTTGGCATACATCACTCTAGGCTTAATTTAGCACGTTATACCAAATTTCGTGCAAATCAAAAGTTATATAGGGACTTTGGGCCAAGTTTCGTGAAAATTGGTCCAGATTTAGATATAGCTCCCATATATAGTTTCGTCCGATTTCATGTAATTGGTGCCCCAAAGTCCCTAAATATCTTTCGATTTGCACGAAATTTGGCATAAAGTACTGAATTAAGTCCAACATAATGTGTGTTAGGTTTCGTGGAAATCGGTTCAGATTTTGATATAGCTCCCATATATATTTTCGTCCGGTTTAATGTAAATGGTGCGCCAAAGTCCCTAAATATCTTTCGATTTGCACGAAATTTGGTATAGCGCACTGAATTAAGTCTAGAATAAAATAATGTATTGAAAATCTTTACAGATAATTTTCCCCAAACATTGTTACCTTTCCTCGTAATTAAAAGAAATATATGAATAATTTATTTAAAAGTCCAGTCATATTATAGTAAAAAAATACACACTGCTTCGTTGTTGTTTTTTTATTGTTGGTTTTACAAAAAAGGGTTTATCGGTTTGCGTGCTAACTGACCATATTTGCATTGAGTTTTTTGCTGTTGTTGTTGCTGTAATTCTCTTGGTCACTAAACTTGGCGAATAATGGCGCGTTGGCGGCACGTTAATATCAAAACATAGTTACGCTTAAATATCCTCACCTCCAATGTATCGGCGAAGTAGTCTCGAGTGTCCAATAAAAGCCGTAATGGGGGAGGAGGTTTATGATAATGTTTCACTTTTCCACAGTTCTTTTTTAATGGTGGCGATTTTTCCAAAGCCTATTTTCTTCGACAACCCACCATTTTCGGGAGGCCACACAGTAAATGACAAAACAAGAAGAGACAAGCTGACGCTGAAATGAATAGTTGGTTTTTTACCTCAACTAGGCCTCAACACTTGGTCAACGCTGACAATTTGACCTTGTTCAACGATATTCGTTTGGTCCGGTTATGGCATGCGGTTTGGGTGGGAGGTGGAGGTGTGTGCATTTGCTTTGAACATGTTTTGCAGTGAGGTGTAAATAATTAATAAGGTAACGAGCGGATTGAAAAACAAAAACAATATTCCGTGATTTATTGTAATACAA